CTTCTTCTTTGCCAGTCATTTGAACAAGCAGGACAGCCTGAGTGGTATTGCCAAAGTTTTTCTTTGATATGTGTAAAAATGGAAGAGCTCGAGGTATTACTCCAGGTTTTCTTTGACTCAGTGTACAATGGAACTTGATTTAATTTGTCTTAATGAATGTAAAAAGCAATCTGTAAACATGTATCAGTTATTTTTACTACAGCAGTGTTCAGAGACACCAAACAGGATTAAGCAGCTTTTGTTTCTGGCAATATACAGGCAAAACAAACTTTTCCTCGAGGAATTAAAATGGAGAACCTTTAAACAGATCTTCATATGGAAAATCTGCAGAACCTACTATTACAGCAACCATTATATGCTGTAATGATGTAAGAATCTGAGTATGAAGCACTTCTAGCATGAGGTATCATGAATCATGTTCTCAGACTGGTGCACAACCTTGTTTCCTATGGTATTACTTAGATATTGCTGCTTTTATTTAAGCCAGCCCCAGTGATCTACTTAGAACCTCCTAATGATCCTCACTGTTAAGCCACAAGTTCCTAACGTACTTTTTTCCATCAGTGTCCTGAAGTCCTCCTTGGTGAAGACAGATCTCCTCACTCCAGGTGTTTTCTTTCTCAATACACCCACATCTCAAGACATCCTTTCAGTAAATTTTGTTGCAGAAACCCTAATGATTCTTCTAACAGGTTTTGAATGGGCAGCCCATGGTAGCAACTGTTAGGGGCTTTTTTGCTTTAGTTCTGCATTTAGTACTTTCAGGGAGTTAAGAGATTATTTAGTACTATCTGTCTTAGCAACTCAGTAATATGAATGTCACAGTCACTTTTATCATAACCGCATAACCTCAAAATGCTCCTTTGTAAAGGTGCAGACTGAATCTTCAGGGTTGGGAGCTCTCACTTTCTGAGTGATACAGAATTTTTAGCATAAGTGTCATCTTAATTGTTTGTTTTCTTTTCAGATGCCAGCTTCCTGTTGTTAGCATTTGTTGGTTCTAAAAAAAGGGAAGACATCATTTCATATTTAAGTCGCACAGATGCAAGTATTTAGTTTGACAATGATAAGAAATGCCAAAGATAAGAAAGTTTACCTCTCTGTTTTACTCTCACAGAGTGATAATGATTTATCTTCACAAAGACAAGAAAAGGCAGAAAAGAAAACTGCAGCTGCAACATCTTTGCTAGAACTTAGACAAGAGTCTTATTTGTTAAACAGCACATGCAGGGAATAAAAATCGAGGTTTCAGTAATCATAGTCCATGGAATTCTAGCCAGTCTCTGATAAAATATTCTAAATATTTTGACAACGTATTTCCCCAAGGCAGAAGAAATGTATACCTATATTTTATTTGTTGTTCCCAACAGCAAGTGAGATATATATATATATATAAATATATATATAGGTTTCTAAGAAAATAGATGAAAACAAAAGGAAACAAAGAAAATTGAAACAGACAAATGAAAACAACAGTTTAGAGAGATAAACTGGCTCAGGCAAGAAGGACAAAAAAGGGGATGATAGGAAAAAGAGCAAGAAAAATTTCTGATCTGTTTATTTTTTGCATTGCACACTTATGTTACCTTCCTGGCATGTATTCAAAATCGAATGGTTTAAGAAGGATAATGTTAAGATGAGCAGGGCTGTTTTCTACAGGCAGCTGTGTTATGAAAAGTGTTACCATGCCAAGTTGTCAGCGTTTCCTCCTCCACTGCTGAAGCTCTTGCACTGCATTCCTTGACCCATTTCAGTCAGGATCCTCCAAGCTAACACAGACCTTCTGTCTCAACAGACTCTGCAAGCATTAAGTCCTCCAGGGAGGGATGAAGTATCCAGGATCTAGTGCAAGTTCTTCAACACAAACACTTTGATAGATACAGTCTGGCCTCACTAAATCAACATGTGCCTGGGAAATTTTGTTTCCTTAGCCAGTTCTGATGACCTATCTTACCTTATCTCACTAACATAGGGACAACAAATCGATACCAATACCTACTGTTATATTATACACTTAATATGAATGACAGATGCTGTAGAGGTTATGTTATTTAGAACTATTTCTGGAGAAGGAGACAAAATAAAACAAATAAGTTAATTGTTTTTGGAGAGGAAAAAATCAAAGTAAGAAGTTCTCTTGCTTTTTTTTTTTCTTTTAATCTGAAACATTTCTGTATAGCAACAGTGAAATATCACAGTTGATATTTGCAAATAAAGTACATTATCACATATGAACAAAATAGTTTACCTTCAATAAGCGAAGAAAGAATGAGTGACAAGGGCCTTAGCACAGACTTGGAGGTTTACAGACATATTAAGAAGCTTTTATGCATAGAAAGCCTAAATCACTCAAAAGGACAGGACTTGACTAAGCTCAGCCAGCAAAAAAATGATTTGATTATATTTATTGAAGCCTAATGGAAGGTGAAAAAGTAATTTCTTGGGGAGAGAACAAATGTCAACTTGTTATTCTTAACACCTAATTGGACATTTATTTCACTTCTGTATGCTGTCTGGAACAACATGTTAGAATTTGTAAATAGGATCACTGAAGACAAAAGCAGGATGTACCCTTGGAAACATCAAGCCCTACCTTCATGTATCATTGTTTTAAGTACCTAGACTAGCTGTCATCTCATGGAATGATGGATGCTCTCTACTTTCACAGACACTGAGGATGTCAAAGCCTCTAAAGCCCTCAGGGAAAGCATCTCTCCAGATTCAGCCCAGCCCTGGAAACTGAAATGTTATTTTAGATGTGTCCTAGAGAAAAGCTTTCAAGAAACATATTTTAGAGAGGTATCAGGTGCTTCATCTTTCCAAGGTTTCACATTTTCTCTGCAATAGTACATAAATCCCTTTTTATAATGGTACATAAATTGACTGAAATTTATTTGTTTCTTCAAAGATAAGATTATGAGAGTAAATACAAAGAATGGTAACATATGGCCCTTGAGAAGGAAAGACATCAGGTGATTAACTTCTAATGAACTGTATGGGCATTTAAAGTGCAGAACAAAAGATGAGGCTAAATCCTTCTTTCAGATTGGAATGAGTAGGAGTACACACAAGTGATCCTGCACATCATCCACTGAGAATATTTAGAGAGTCACGTTCCAGAAATGTATTGAAAAGCTGTCAAGAAGAATAACTGATTTAATGAACTGTGTCAACACATTTGTAGGAAGCACCAGATTATAATTTGCTCTGCCTCAGAGACATTTTAAGCAACTGAAAAATTGCTTTTACTGGGAGTATTATATTGTACAATATTATTAACTTTTATGATATGAACCTATTTTGAACAAAATTTACTCGATTCCTAACTCCTTAGCTGTACTTCAGACACTATTTTTAAAAAATGCATTCAGTCATTGAGGAAACATTCTCCTTTCTCCAAGTTTTGCCTTAACGCTTTAACTTATTTTAATGTACCCTTGCCATTTCTAAAGAACTTTTTCTTCCTAATATTTCCTTAACTGAGGAAGAGAGAAAAAGGACTTGCTTCATCACCGGGAGGGGTAACTCACCTGAAGCTCAAGGCTCATGAACACATTCTCCGTGGTTAAACAAGGAAAGCTTTTATTGTGATTAGTCACAATGGAGCAACCAACGAAGTTTAGGAAAATATGTGACTGAATAGGAAAACACTTTCAACTTGGTAATGGTCAAAGAGCTGCCCAACTAGATTTCATCCTTAACACGTGAAACTTGCTTATTTTATTATCTTAGTCAAATCAAGATGTGGGGGTGGAAGGGAGAGCCAGCAACCAAATTCCCAAACCTGCTTGCTGCCTGCTGAGTTTCTGACCACTGGAGGCTCTGCTATGCTCAACTTATGTCAGGCACAGCTGACCCCAACCCCTCAGTCCTAGGCACTCATGTATGGGCCAATGCAGTCACGCATGTTGGAAAGCCCCAAGACATTCCGTGAACCAAGTATAGAACCCTCACTTGTTATGGATTTATGTTTCAGTGGTGCCTATGACTGTCAATTGAGGGGGTTTTTTCCAATTGCTAGATACTTATTAGGCCTGTCTTAAAAGAAGATTTTAAACTCTGTATGATGTGAGATCACGTTGTAGACTCTCTTACTACTGGGTCTCACACATAGTTCTGCCTTCTGACTGGTGCATACTTAAATAATACTTGCTATATTGTTGCTACCTGCAAGATCCCCCTTCATTCAAACATAACTGACATTGGTTACTGATCCATCTGGGATCAATTGTCCTCCTTTCATTTCCTCTCCTTCTCTAGTGCATCTGGCTTCTATCTCTTGTAGAAAATACAAGGGAATGTTCAGGAGCAGGTGTTTCCTGTTTTTAATCCTTACTGTCCTTACTATACCAAGAGGTGTAATCTTCTGCTGGCATCCCATGGGTAACTGACAATTCAAACAGTTAGCTTTCACCCCACTTGGAGGCAAGACTATGACTTAAAGAACTGAGAAAGCTAGTGAGCCTCAGAGTTCAGGGAACATGTAAGAAAAGTAGGTAATTCAAAGCAATGGGAGTTTGTTGGTTTTAACTTTACTGAAGTGATTAAATTGAAAATAATGGTGTATAAATATTAATAAAAGAGAAAATATAGGTGATGGGATTCACATCAACTTAATACGAAAGAGAATCCGCAAGCTTGAAGATACAAAGAAGTACTTCAGCTCTGACCTGTTGTTGGGGGGTAGATCTTAAAAGAACGGCCACTATTAACTCTAGCAGTTATTAGAATCTTTCTGCACGGATATGCCGGTAGGGCGGGCAGAGGCGCTCCCGAAGCAGCCGATCCCGCCGCAGAGCCGCGCTGGAGCCGAGAGGCTCGCACCGCTCTGCGCCGGGGCAGCTCAGCCTGCGGGAGCCTCTGCTCCAGCCTCGGCCACCCGCCCGCAGCTTCTCGGTTGCGACCCGTATACATATATGCATATGTACATACATACATATACACGGGGGGTTCCCAGAGCGCCCCTCGACTGGGGCGGCCGCGGAGAAGCTGGAGGAGGGACCGGCGCCCCGGGTTGCGGTGAAGGGGCGCTCCCCCACCTGCCGCTCAGAGGGCAGGAGGGAGAGGGGGGCGGAGCGGCTCCCATCCCATCGCCTTCGGGAAGCAGCCGCGGGTGGGAGCGGCCGCCGCCTCTGCCCGCGGGCTGGGGGCGATGGCTCCCTGCCCACCCAGCGGCCACCCGGGATGAGCCGTGGGCGAGCCCGGCTGCGAAGGGGGAAGTTGAAGGCTGTGTCCCCGGCGGGTCGCTCGGCCGGCTGCGAGGGGGCGGGCGGCGCCGGGCGCCCGAGGAGGAGCCCGAGCATTCCCGCGGCGGGGACAGCCGGCGAACGGGCGGCGGGCGGTGTGGCTTCATGGGCTGCTCACGCCAACATGGTGCTCGCCCTCAACGGCAGCCACCTCTACGGTAACCTCCGGCCCCTGGTCCTGGAGGACCCGCGGGCGCTGAGCGGCGGCAGGATGATCGCCGGCTCCTGGCCCCCGCGCAGCCTGGCCAAGCTCGGGCCGTCTCCTGCCCCGTCGGCGCTGCCCACGGCGAGCCCTCTCCCAGCCAACGACTCCCAGTGCGGAGAGCAAATCCTCAGCTACGGCAACGTGGAGAAAGTTCTCATCGGGGCCGTGCTCTGCCTCATCACCCTTCTGACCATCGCCGGCAACTGCCTGGTGGTGATCTCTGTCTGCTTCGTGAAGAAGCTGCGGCAGCCCTCCAACTATCTCATCGTCTCGCTGGCCCTGGCAGATCTCTCGGTGGCCCTGGCCGTCATGCCCTTCGTCAGCGTCACCGACCTTATCGGCGGCGAGTGGATCTTCGGGCGCCTCTTCTGCAACGTCTTCATCGCCATGGATGTCATGTGCTGCACGGCCTCCATCATGACCCTCTGCGTGATAAGTATCGACAGGTGAGAGCGCCCCGGAGCCCCGCGGCTCGCCCTGCCCTCCCGCAGCCCCGGGCACCGGGGGCGGCCGTGGCCCTGGCGCGGGGACCTGCCGTGAGCGATCCCACCAGCCGTCTCCTGCCTCCTCCTCCGGGGCCCTTGGAAATGAGCCGCAGACGTGCTCAGAGCAGGGAGTGAGGCGAGTGCCAGCCTCTCTGTTCGAAGGAGCCCGCCGGAGCAGGGTGTGCTGCATCCCAGCCCAGGTGCCCGGTTATCCCTCTGGGTAACTACCCTGCTCTCACTGCAGAGCAGAGGCGTCAGAGCAAAACCGAACGTAAACTGTTAACGTTTACTGTGGCTCCATACAAGTAATGAGGCATTTGCAGCCACGTTAATATTTGAAACATATGTATTTAAACTGCTTTATACCACAGCTAGATTTGAGCTGATTATTCCGCAGCTGGTGACAGTGTAACCTCGCTGGGTTCAGTGGAGTTTTACCAGACCAGAGAAGGTGCAGGAATTATAGCTTTTTATGGTTTTATCTTTATTCTAGGACACCACTATAACAGCTCAATTTCAACCAACAGAACCATTTTTGACAAGTAATGTTTTATATGGAAAAATTGCTTTTAAATGTTCACTTTTTAGAAGTTTTCACCTGCTGTCTTAAAAATCAGGTTATGCTCGTTGACTAAATAGCTACTTCCAAAAGATCCAGGCACTGTGGCGACAAGGAGGTGTATGCAGACCGCAGAAGAGGATCTTAGGTGTTCAGTTGTGATGTCAGGGCCAAACCTAAGGTCTCATATTTGCCTTGACTGAGCTCTCCTCTGCAGAGAAAGGCTGACAGTTTCCTTTATTCCATGTAGGACCTGTTCTAAAGTAAATTGCAGCCTGTAGCTTCCCTCTTCCACAGCCTAAATTCCACACCAAGAATTTTGGCATCTCGAGGGTAACTTTTCATTACAACTCCACACAATTGGTAGAAATTGAAGAACTTTGTAACTAGATTGTAGAAGCAGTTTACCAAGTCCAATATCTGACAGCAATCTTGACTCTTTACTTTAGAAAGTTTTTGGAAAAAACTCTGCGTTAGGTTTCTGCAGAGAAACAGTCTTTTAAAAGAGTTTCCCACAATAAATGGAGGTTGTTTCATTCCAAGGAGCACCACGGTTTGTATTAATTTCAAAACTTTAATTTCTGTATAAGCATCCCCTTCTCCAATGATCTTTATTTTGTAACTTCTATATTGAACAGTATCTGAATGCATCTTGTAGCAATGAAATCTACATACACAGTTTGACTGAATATCAAAGGGTGGTTTTTTGTTTTGTTTGTTTGTTTTTAAATTGGTGTTGCCTTGAAATTTGCTATTTTTTAATTTAATTCCAATACTGTAAGAAAATATGAGTAGGCTTATCTGCCTTCCCAATATTATTCTCTGTACTACCTATTTCTAAGACTGATGATTTCATTTTTCTACTCTCTCTCCATAAAGTATTCCCATTCTTTGATTGTTCTTGATGTTCATGTCTGAGCTCTCCACCTCCATTTCAGCCTTTTGAAGACAGGTTAACATATTTAAGCTTTCTTACTGAAGTAGGGATGTGTGACTGATTCTCACTGTAGAACTGTGTTTTCTTAGTTTAACATTTGAGGTCACTGCTGTTTGATTAACAGGGGCTTTGACTGAACTGGTCACAGTCGTGATTGCATCTTTTGCTGTCGTCTTATTATTCTCCCTCCACTCCCCTCTCCCCGCAAAATACTAGAGAGATATATCTCTGTATTTAGAACTGTTGTGAATGACTGATTTTCAACACCAAGTGCTGATTTAAACTAGGATTATTTTCCTCTTGTCTTTGTATTCCCAATTCTATCACTAAATGTTTGTTGAACATGATCTCTTTACAATTCATTATACTGTTGTCTACTCCCTTCTTGAAACTAAAATTCTGTGAATTATGATGCTTTAACCTCTGTCACCCAAATCCATTATATAGTTAAGATAGGTGATATCATAAGTAAAAGGAGACAAGCCAGCAATTCATTAGCAAAATGTCTCTACTACACAACAATAAAAGAAATTTCCATGATTTCTAAGCCTATTTAAAAATAAATAAATTTATACTGGTGTGGCACTGCTCAGTCAGGGCTAAGATTAAATTTGAGATGAACTAATCTTTGAATAGTGAAGACGTACAAAATATGCAAGCCAGGGAGAAATTAGGAAAATTAAATGTGAATGATGAAGTGTTGCCAGTGTAGCACTAATTTAAATTTAATTTTAATTAATAAAGCTATCCTACCGGCAGTTGTTCTTACATGTATATAGTTAGGAAATCCTCAAATGATCAGTGAGGGAAATTTATCTCTGAAAAATCACATACCTCCAGATTAAGCATTGTATTTGGTATTGGAGCTGCAAATCACAACATATATAGTGCATTAGAGGGTCAAATTTTCACAAGGTCCATTTTTCCATGGGTTTGATGGAAACATTTGCATGTTTTCTGTTATGTAGGAGAAGAAGATCAACAGTGATACAGCCCTTATTAGCCTTTCTATCTCAGTGCAAAGAATACAACATCCAGAAGCTGGGAAAGAGGGAATTAAATTAATTCATTTTCCTTCAGTCTGGCACTACCTTCAGTGCCATTTAGATGCACTTGAACTTTGTAGCACAAATAAGTATCCTGGGGTCATGTGGGAGATATTTGTATAGGGAAAAGGTTAAGACAGGACAAATAGGAATAGGAACATTTTTGAAGAATAATTATGAATGGCACTGTCACCTGGCTCTTTAGGACACTTTAGGAAACCTTTGTTGGGATTCACCTTCCTGACAAGAAAGATGAGGTTATTGCAGACAGGAAATGAGTTGGCCATTTTAAAATTTAATTATTAAATATTTAGGTTCTTTCTGAAGCAGATATAAGAATCAGGTAAATAGCTGACAGAATATTACTATTGAATTAACCTTAAAAAAAAAAAAAAAGAATTTGTTACAAACTGCTAAGCAAGCTGTGTGAGAAGATGTAATACCTTTTATTAAACAAACAATTAGGTCAGTAAAAGAGAAGCTTTGAGGAGCTTCCAAACAGGATGAGTAAATTGAAAAGACTTTTTGATTTGTTTCCCTTGCACAAATATGTGCTACTCAGCTTATGCTACTGAGAGCCCTGAAATGCCAGCAGCTGGCAGGCCTATTGCTCACAGGGATGTTTTGATGCACAGCCCTTAGTGGCAGATGTGTTTTTTAGCTGAATCTATCAGTTGGAAAGCTCTGAAAGATGCAGATTAGCCTGGAATCTACCAATGGGCTGCTTTCATTCTGTTGGAAAGCCCTTTATTTTTTTCCTAATTAGACAAATCAAGCACTTAATCTGTTTAAATTGTTTCTCCTCTAAGCTGTGTAAATGTTAGGGGTGCAAAGTAGAAGTTAGTGTGCTATTATTGGGATCTCTAACTTTGTGCTGGGTGCACAAGGAAGAAGCTAGGTTGAAAAGGTCTAAATTTGTGGAGATTCAAGATTTGGACTATTATGCATTTTTTTGGGTCATATCTTCCCTTTTTCTTCACAACATGAAAACCTTCACAGAACTTTATCAGAGTGACCTCGGAAGAACATGTTACTTTTTAAGCGTCTCTGTCTTATTTAAGCCCCCACTTTGGAAGAAGGCTATCTGCTTACAGGCAGGTCTGTCAGAACTAAAATGTATATGACGGAGAGAAAAGAGTTTCTCCCTTTTCAGATTTCATGAGGATTAAACAGGCAAGACAGCTTGATACTCAGACAGTCAATATATTACCTTTGCTATTCCTGCCATCTGTGATATGAGGAGTAGCTCTGTAGAAAGGTAGGAGCTACAAAGATTTTGGCAGCAGAATTGGGTCTCAGTGAACAGTAGTCTCCTTTAAGCCTTTCTTATTAGTGTGCATTTTGTTTTGGTTTTTTGCCCTTAAAGCTCCACTTTTCTGATTCTGAATTAAATAAATTATATCATATTTAGATTCCTTTACATTCTTTATGTTTAAGAGTGAGCAGACATTAGGAGTAAATTATGAGGGATGGATACAAACCACATCCTAGTGGGGGGATGAACAAATAAAGGGAATTAATTGTATTAGAACTGGTGGTGTTTGCATGCTGATTCATCATGTTGTTCTGACCCAAGATAGCTACAGGAATGTTGTTTTGGAGAGTATCCACGGGATAACTGCATAAGTAGCAATTTTTAATTCAATTTAAAAATAGTTCTTTGGCTTAGAAAGTGATAAAGTAACATAACTACTCAGATATAGTTGATGAATTATAACACTTTCCCCACACCCACACAAGTAATGAAACACTTTTTGGGGAACTTTTCCAGTCTGTATCTTAGCCAACAGTTCACGAGTATTCCAGGCTTCCATTAAATTGATGAGGATTTAGAGTTTGTATGCAAGTAAGTGGGCCTTTTTGTTGATCCTGAGATTTTTATACACAAGTATCAGCTCTGTGTTTTTCCTTGTTTTGCCACACTCTGGGTATGAGTACTTACGCTTCTCCTTAGAGAATGTGTCAGTTCCTTAGAGCTCACTCACTGCTCAAGTCCTTGTTCCATGCCTGAGAACTGAGCAGGTCTCAAACTTCCTCAAAGAAAGTACTTAGAACTAAATTTAAATAAACTTTCAGTTTCAGTACTTTCAGTAGAATCCAGGTGTCTAAATTCTACCTACATGCAAAACTGATAATATGACCTGATAATATGAAAACTGTCAGCAATTTGCTAAACTTAACAGCACCTAATAGTCCTGTGTGGCTTCCTATACAGTATGAAACCCTTTCTGCCTTGAGTGTGGAAAAGGCTGTGGTCCACTCTGCCAACCCTGCTCAGATCGTTCACAAAAGACATGTAGAATATACATGTAGACTAGATATGAAAAAATTCTCAATGTAATATATTTCTGATCTAGAATAAACATAGGCACCCACCAGCAGTGCCACTCATGATATTTTGTTCAGTACCTATATTTACACAGAAGTAACTGAGAAATGAGAAAAAACCTAAAAGGAACGAAAAAAAAAAAAAGGCGTGTGATGGAGTTACTGCAGTTAGGGTCTATATTGCAGAAGAAAGTTTTGAGATCAATAAGGCAGCTAATTCCTTGCAACAGCCATTATTTCCACTTTTTAACCTGATAAACAACAGTAATCTTTCTGAGATTGTACGTAATTTGTCTAGCTAATGAAAGATAGAGACAGCATTGATAAACTAAAGTGAAAAAGAACAGATTCGGTTTTATTCCTTTCCATGTATTTTTTCTAATGTAGTCCACTTAAAAAATGTTCCTCAAGTTAATGTAGTTTTTTTGCAGAGAACTAATTGCTGAACACTTCTGCAGTCTCCATTTTACTATTTACCTTGAAAAGAGGAACAACACAAATTTTTGATCCCAAATCCAGAGATGAAGAAGTTGAATTGGAAGTTGGATGCATTAAGTAGCATAAGGCAGTGCGATATATATCTGTCACCCAGAACCCACTCCAAAAGAGTAAATAAAGTTAGGGCATTCTTCTGTATTAACATGATCCCTCTTCTTTAAGTACCTTTCTGTGACATCCTCAGGTATCTTTTCCTGTGTCACATAGGCAGCCTGAAAGACACACAGTTACTTACAGAGTAACCTGATATTAGCCACAAGTATTGCTTTATTATGTCTTTGCAGATACATAATTATTCATGACCACGCTGCCAGATGCACAATAAGTAAGGTGGGCAGTAACAAATAAAAGATATTTTATCGAGCAGATGGACTATTTTGTGAAGACTTAACTCCGGAGTAAACTCTGGAGTTTGAATGCCAAAACAAGTGGTAGTTTTGTCCTTTCACATAAGATCTGAAGCTTGGTAGGTGTGTCTTGTGGCTGCACAGTAGAAGGTGACAAAGTTTAGGAAGCTAGGAGGTGTTACAGAACAAAAATCTGTAGATTGATTATTCTATTGCTGTTATATACTGGATGCATTTAAGTCATGTTACTGAAGGGGAGTTACAAAGTGTGGAGATGCAAGATAATCTAGAGGTAGCAGTGAAAAGCTGACTGAAGTTGGTAACATTTCAAGATATGCATGCATGGGAATTATAGTTCAGTCAGAAGAAGGAAATTTTAAATTAAACCACATTTACCTGAATGCCTTTTCTTGAAATTGGATGTTTCATTTTCCCCCCGCATTTGAAACTATCTTCTGTTTGCTCCTACCAGGGTTTAACACTGGATGAGTTTTCAGAAGTGATTTTGGGGTCTCTAATTCTTGGGGGTTCATCCAGACATTTCAAAGGATCCTGATAAGTCAGAGGTAAGGGAACATTAATTCGTGTTTTTACCAAGCAGGGCATTCTGGAGACATTTTAAAAGTGATTTTTTTTCCTGCCAAGGTCATAAAAATAGTTTTTCCATAAGTAAGGTTGGATTTGCTTCAAAATTCACAGGAAAAATACAATTCTAGAAACACTCCTCTTAGTTTTTGAAGGGAGCTTTCAAAAATATCTCCTAATATAAATCACTAAAATGCAGATGCATATCACACTGGCACGATGGTGTAGTGTAACCTGCATACGTTTGTATCAAAATATTTTTTCCTAGAGTTTTTTTCTTGAAATGGATGAGTATCATCGAATGACACATCAAAGCCTTTGTAGTTATTATACACTGTTTGAAGCAAGATTACTATATCAGTAGTAGCATGCTCACACAAGCTTCTGCAGGAACGGAAATTAACCAGGGAATGTTTTCACTTTCTTGGAATAATTTTCTCTGAAAATTATTTCTAAAACTCCCTGAAAATTATGTAAAGAAAATATCTTGTTCCTTTAAAAGAAACACAGAATTATTTATAACATTGTTGTTGAGTTGGAAACATTTTATCAGAAATATTTGTGGCAACTTTTGGAACAGAACACCTTATTTCATCTGCAGCTGATATGTACATATGGCGCTGTCTGTCAGCTACAAACAGTTCTCTCTTTTTTTCTCTCAGTATATAGCACAGATCTGGTCCATCCTCTGTGGACTAGAAACTCTGAAGAAAGAGCTGGCCATTGTAGGTTGCAGAAACATAAAGAGCTTTTGAGAAGTAGTTGAGTTTGCCAAGGTGCAGCTGTCGTACAAGAAAGACTGGGGAGCCAAATTACAGATTCTGATATCTGCATGTAGAAAGCTCAAGTATCATAAAGCAGTGAACATTGCAGTTTTGTTCTGATGGTCACTACTGTTTGTAAGGTGAGGATAACTTCTTTCACCTGGAAAGCTTACAGGTTTTAGATTTTCTTCTTGTACTGGGTAGCCAACTGTTTCTAGAGGATTGAATCATACTATATCTCTTCCTGTGTATACTGAAAAGAGAAAAAAAGCAACTGAATTTTTTTGAGCCAACTCCTACTGCAAAGTTTGTTTTCCTTCTCAAAACACTCCAGTAATTAAATATGTCATAGGGAAAATTTGTTTTTATTCTATTTGAACTAACATAAAATTAAAGAGTGCAGCAGCTATGATTTTCTTCTTGTACCTTGCTGTTTCTCAAGGCTTTATACAGAAATCCAGATTATCTGATACATGTGGGTGGTTCCGTACACATGAGCCTGTATGCAGTTCTGGTAGCGATTCACCTCTA